CCTAAGAAAATTGTTTCCTTAAAATTTTTCTCACAATTTAATTTCCAACAGAGATTTCCGGAAACGTATGAGAGATGACCTCAAAACCTGATACATTTCGCATCTTGCACCATTCCATTTCTCGTTTAGATTTGAATTGCAAATAATTACTTTTGATTATTCATGTTTTCATCATCACCTTGACACGCCAAGAGCGCAAGAAAGAAATATGTCGCTCTATCGACGGTCTTGTCGTAGCTATCTCTCCATAGCCATCTTCATGCTCTTTGGCAGTTTAAAATTTTTGTCTAAAAGGGTAAGGTTATAGACAGAAACGAGCAATGGCGAACTTTGGAGGAGCGAAGTCGCTCAAGAGCCAGCAGTACACACGTAGGAAGTTGGACGATAAAACAGAGTTCAAAACTGGACCGTTACAAGGTTATTACGTAAATTAACTTTGCTGTATGATACTTATTCGAGATATGTTCTTTAGTATATAATGTACGTTCAAATCTCTATTAGTTATGTTTTCGGTGTGAAATTTGCTGACGCCTTTAATAAATTAAAAAGAGTAACAACAACAACAACAACAACAACAACAACAACAACAACAACTTTATTGGTACACATACCTAGAATTAAAGTTTACAAAAATAAGTTTTAAAATAAAGTTAGTACATGACTGCCCGAAATAACCTTAACAGGTACTTAAGACTGGGCAGCCATCCTTAGTCAGATTACAACACTGGCTGACCTAGATAACAATAAAAAGGGCAAAAAAATTTACATCAGTGCGCGTCTTTTATTTAACTCGATCGTTCTTTAAAAGAAAAGTTTCTGATGATATAATTTGAAATCTTTGGAATTCTTGTGCAGATGTAAGCAGAGCTGAATGTGCAATAAACAGGTTTATGCAGGTGAGAATGGAAGGCAACTGGAGGATGGAATCTGTTTGGCTGACAGGTGAGACTGCGAACAGTATATACTTCATAATTATTTACGTTTAACTCTGGGATGTAGTAGGGAATCTTGGAGCAACTT